CTGGGTGGCGCAGTGGTTTAGCGCCTGCCTTTAGCCCAGAGCACGATCCTGGAGACCCAGGATCGAATCCCACATCGGGCTCTCGGTGCATGGAGCCTGCTTCTCTCTCTGCCTATGTCTCTGCCTCTCTCTCTCTCTCTCTGTGACTATAAAAAAAAAAAAAAAGAGTTGGATGCTTAAGGGCAGCCCCATTGGCCCAGTGGTTTAGTGCCGCCTTTAGCCCCAGGGTGTGATCCTGGAGACCCAGGATTGAGTCCCACATCAGGTTCCCTGCATGGAGCCTGCTTCTCCCTTTGCCTGTGTCTGTGCCTCTCTCTCTCTCTCTCTCTCTCTGTGTGTGTGTGTGTGTGTGTCTCATGAATAAATAAATAAAATTTTTTAAAAAAAAGAGTTGGATGCTTAAGCAACTGAGTCACTCAAGAGCTCCTTATTCTGCATTTTTTTAAAGAATTTATTTATTTATTTATTTATTTATTTATTTATATATTTGAGAGAAAGAGAGAGCATGAAAGAGAGAGAGAGCACGAGCAGCGGGGAAGGAGGGGTGGAGGGAGAAGCAGAGAATCCACTGAGCAGGGAGTGCAACTTGGGGCTTGATCCCTGAACCCTGAAAACATAACCTGAGCCAAAGGTAGAGACTTAACTGAATGAGCCACCCACGTGCCCCCCATTCTGCATGTTTTATACTTACTCTTCTGTAATACGATTCTACCTAAAAATATAGCATAGGCTTCTTTTCATTTCAGTGAATATAAACCCTCTAAACCCTCTGCTTATATTTTTAAGTTTGTTTATTTGTTTATTTATTTATTTATTTTGGTAATCTCTACACCCAACATGAAGCTCAAATTCCCAACCCAAGATCAAGAGTCACAGGCTCATCTGACTGAGTCACCCAGGCACCCCAACTCTGCTTATTTGCTTATTTTAAAAAGAGTATTCCATTTTACTGATTTTTTAGTTTATCATTTCATAGTGATGGAAATTTAGTTTTATCCTATTCTGTTGTTCTTATAAAGAATTTGCTTCATTAAGCATCTTTGTTCAGGTATCCTTTGTGTGCATATTGTTATAGGTCAACTTTATAGCCGTGGGATGCTGGTTCAGAGACTATAAGGATGTAAAGTTTTCATGGGTATTTTTGCCCTTGAATATGTCACACCAAAATATATGACTAGTTGTTTCTTCATACTATCAAAAACTCTGGAGGATATTAGTTTTTAACCCTGGACAATTCAGGGTGAAACTTGTCTCTTTGCTCTTTTAATTTATATTCCTTTAATTGTTAAAGATGGTGAAAAATTTTAAGTGTTTATTGGCTATTTATATTTTTCCTACTGACAAGGAGGCACCTATAAGGTCCTTTGCCTATTGTGGTCCTTATTGATTTGTTGGGTTCTTTATATAGAACTTTGTCATGCATTGTAGCCATTTTCCTGCTTTGTGCTTAGCTTTTATTATTTCTTCTTTTTAAAGATTTTTTTTAAGTAATCTCTACACCCAACATGGGGCTCGAACACACAACTAAGATCCAGAATTTCATGCTCCCCTGACTGAGCCAACCAGGACCCCTGTGCTTGGCTTCTAAACTGATATTTTTTTCAAAGAGAAATTTAATATTTTTATATAGCTGAATCTGTTAATTTTTGTCTTTATGGGTTTATTTTTATAAAGATTTATTTTTTTAAGATTTTATTTATTTATTCATGAGAGACACAGAGAGAGGCAGAGATACAGGCAGAGGGAGAAGCAGGTTCCATGCAGGGAGCCGGATGTGGGACTTGATCCCAGGACTCCAGAATCATGCCCTGAGCCAAAGGTAGATGCTCAACTGCTAAGCCACCCAGGTGTCCCTATTTATTTATTTTATAGAGAGAGAGAGCAAAAATGCACAAGTGGGTGGGGCAGAGAGAGAGAGAAAGAGAACCCCAAGCCGACTCCATGCTGAGTGCAGAGCTGGATGGGGACTCAATCCACAACCCCAAGATTATGACCCAAGCCAAAAACCAAGAGTCAGATGCCCAACCTACTGAGCCACCCAGGTGCCTCTGTCTTTGTTTTTTGATCACTGTATTATAGTAAGAAAGGGCACTTCTACCTAAAAATATCTATGTATACTAGCATTTTCCTACAGTTTATTATTTTCTTTAAAGCATTATCACTCATTTTGGTATAAAAGCATGGACCTTTTTATGATGTTATCCGTATTGCTTCAGAGAGTGAGAGCTGGCAAGTTGCTGGGGTTCCTTCTCCTTTCCCACTTCTGATTATGTAAATGGGCAAAAGAAATTATTTAAGAACTAGGGATACAGTAAATTCTCAAAGTGTTCATTTCTAAATGTCAACAGTGTAAGCTAGCAAGAAATAAAGATGGCTTTATTTACTCCCTTGAATTAGCAATATCCTCTCCATCTTCGTGATTCTTCTGCTTCACTCAAAATTCCCATCACCCATGCCCCCATGGCCATCATTTTCTATTTTCAAAAATTTCAGGACTCATTTAACTCTCTATCCTCAGGGCCTCCGAATTTAGGTCTGATGCCCTCTCCACTAAGAAATGCTTGATTTTCTTTGTCTTCTTTCCTTAATAACAAGCTTTTCTCCCTGGTGACTGTGGAAGTCAGTTAAGCCCTGGGGAGGAGCCGACTTGAACATTTTCCTTTGTCTTTCATGGGATGATTTAGTACAAGCTCCTGAACATCTTGTGCTGTGCAGACCACGGTGGGAAACCCAGTGTTGGTGGACAATGTGAACTCCCTAGAGGTGGTGTCAGGGACGTGTGTCTGGCCAAGGGGACCAGCTTTCTACATCATGATCAGACACCGATAATGTGAATAATCTTAGCAGACGTTGTTTGAACTTTCTCTTGTTAGAGGTAAGGCATCCTGTGTGCAGTTAAGAAGTTTTAAAAGTGCTTTTGGTGACAAAGTGCAGGGAGGCAGTTAATTGGACTGTAAAACTCAGCAATTCACAAGTACAAAGTGGTGTCCTCCTTGCAGACCACGCCCTATGGCATCAGGTTGTTTGGGGTTAAAACAAAATAAGATTAACTTTTATTTTAGTTAGGTATAGTTTATATGTACAGTTAAAACACAGAATTGATTTTATGAGCCGGTTACCTGCCAGCTGTGAGAACAGTGGAACATGGTAGGTGGGGAAGCTAAATGACGTGACGGCCTGGTTGTCTGGAAAAAAATAGTGGGGCACCTTATTCAGGCTGCAAACTGTCTGTTATTAGGGGTTAGTTTTGGAAAAGATAGCTTAGGGGCACCTGGGTGGCTCAGTCAGTTAAGCGTCCGACTCTTGACTTCAGCTCAGGTCATGATCTCAGGGTCAGAGATCGAGCCCAGAGTAGGGCTCTGGACGTGGAACATGTCTAAGATTTTTCTCTTTACTCCTTCCCTCTGTCACCCCCTCCTTGCCCTGGCATGTTCTCAGGCTTTCTCTCTCAAATAAATAAATAAATCTTAAAAAGAAAATGGTAGCTTAAACGAGGTCACTAACCATCATTTAGGAGCCTAGGAGGAAAAAATATAAAAGCACATGAATGTTTCTTACAACACTCTTATCAGAAATATTCAGGCTAGAATTCTTTATCATTTTTCCATTTCCCTCATGACATGCTTTTGCTGGGATCTGAGTTATGGTGAAAATAACTGAGGTGGGTTTGGAAAACAGAAATAGGTCATCATTTTTCTCACCTTCGGATATTTTTAAGTTTCTAGGATTAGTATTAAATAAAGCATTTTTTTTTAAATAAAAAGGTTCAGATCTCCTCAATCTGAAAGATTGACCTAAATCCTTCCATATCTATGTGCTTTTGATATCTTTGGCACTTGTAAGTACCAAAGGAAGTCAAGCTGTAATTATATCAATATAAAAATATATTGAACGATATCTTCCAGCGATTTGGACACAGTTATTAAAAAAATTTGTTTGAAAAAAAAAAGAAAATTGTTTGGAAGTGGAGACCGATTTAATGTCTTTTGAAAGTGAGATTCAAAAATGTTTCATAAGCAAAAACCACATTGTGGGCAAATAATCTGCCAGGAATGTTCGGTCATCAGCTACAGAATAAAACAGGCAAATGGCATGAAATTTCCTCAAGTACTTGGTAAAGAGCCTTGAAGTGATGAAAATGCCTGGATAAAAGGGCATGTAAATAAACGTACAGGTAGGGCCATCTGGCTGGGCTTCTGGGGCTTCAGGTGTGTTAACCTGACCTAGTAAGAGGCCCTCTCCATTCATTGTCAGTGTATTTTGGGGAAGAAACATGGCCCAGAAGTCAAGGACTACAGCTCAGGGTTTGAGCTGGCTCTGACATTGACTAGCTATGTGACATTACGTAAATTATTTAACCTGTGCCTCAGTGTTTTCTTCTTAAAATGGGGTACACATGATACCCATCCCTAGAACTGACATTGACAGAGCTGAGGATTAAAATACTTAATATTTCTGAAGGACCCAGCACAAATCCTGGTGGGGTTCATAGAGAAATCACTGACCAAACATTTTGAAACACCGTGCCTTCAAAACTCCAATTTCATTTAGAATGTATACACTTGGTTCAAAATGCTCACGCAAGAAACCACAAACATGCCACACTCAAGCATCTAGTACACTAAAATGTACTCATTTCTCTTATACAGTCTGCTTTCTGCATCTGCATGTTTATGAAATAAAGATGCCCTTTGTGTTTTTCAATGCTTAACGTTTACATTTGTTCAAAACAGCATCTGACTATCCATCTTCGTTTGAAAGTCAAGGTGGCTTTACAGTTCAAAATTACATTACATTAAAATTCTGTCCTTTGAATTTAAGACCTAAATGTAGGGTTGTGGCTGTGAAACTGGTTCTTTCAACAAAACTGTGTCGACTAAATAAAAGAAACTATGTCAGCAAGTGGCAGCTTTAATTACCAGTTTGTACAGCCACCAGTACTTCGCTCGGCAGTTTTGCTATTTATAAACAGAGAAGGTTTAGATGTGGTGTGACATGGCTCTCTAGAGCAACAGGGAAGTACAGGGGGAGAGAGGGAGGGACCAGCTCATGCCACGGCTGTCTTCTTGTGGGACTGGAGTCAAGGTATGATTCTTATAAATTAGCAGTTAAAGGGTTGGGAGCAGCTGGGGGCAACTGGGGTGGATGGAATAGCTGGGGAAGTGTCTCTGGGATGGTAGGAAAGAATGTGAACTCAAGACCTTTCACCTTCTACTTGTGTATTTCAACTTACAGGGTCATATACCCAGATGACTGCGGAAATTTGAGAACACAGCAACAATGCAATATAAAATCTCTACTTCAGCATAAGAAACTGTGGCGCAATTAGCTTAGTCATTTCCAGTTCTTTTAACCTGAGGAAATAAAGACTTATCGAAAGCAGGGTCTGGATCTGTGCTGGTCATGGTAGGTGTCCTGTTGGCTCAGGGATCAATGGTTGAATTAATTAGCAAATTTGACGAATTTCCTAATTTCCTAATTGTGTTCTCCTAGGAATGACGCTGTGTAGGTATCAGGGCATCTTTCACTGTGGTATTTGTTTTTTGACCATAATAATTTTCATAATGTATAAAAGGAATAGCTGTGGCCAGGATACTCCTGCTTTGAATTTCAAATATTAGAAAGTCAGAGAATATCACCCTATAAAATAGAAACTATGTATGTAATGTCATTTTATAAAGCAAATGCTTTGTATTTGGATATAAGTTCTTAACAAATCCAATTTTACTGAGCAAGAGGAAGAACTAAAGTGAGACTGATATTCATATCAGGAATGCGAGTGTTTGATCTAGCGACTCTTACTTTTCTCTCCACCCATGCCGCCAAGGCCATCTCTCCTTCCTTCCTATTTTACTGGAGATACATAGCAATAAACATAATAATGTCCCTGCCCTCAGAGCAGACATACTGGTGGGAAGAAAAAGACAATAAACATAAAGCAAATAGCTAAATAATAGGATTTCAATTACTGACGCATGGAAAATAAAATAAGTAGAAGGATAAAAAGTGACTCGGTAGGGGTGTGGGGAGTGCCTTTGATGACAGAGGTCAAGGAAGGCCTCTCTGAGAAGGTGACATCTGATTAAGATCTGAATAAAGAGGAGGCACCAGCCATGGAAGGATCTTTAAGGAAAAACATTTTAGAGAGTGGGAGCTTGTACAAAGAAATTAGTAAGCTCTCATTTCTCTGCTTCAAATTTTATCTTCCAGATTCTTTGCCTGCAAACCCAGCCCAAATTTTCTTACAACACAGCATGTAAAAATTTTCCCACAACCAGTGCCTACTACAAAGCCTGCCAAGATCATTTAACAAAGGAACGGTGGCTATGGAGAACCTCTGTGAACCATACCTGTTCTATTACACTCTAAACTGTCAATCACAGCCACCTATGACCTGAGATACAAACAAAAGCTTCTAGAAATCACAGAAAGGAGCCACCAGCAACAAAATGGGAGGTTTGTTCCGAGGGCCATTTAGAAAATCTTTCACTTTTCACCTACCTGTGGCCTTGACAATTTGGTGACTTACCATGCCCAGTGTACTCAAAAGAATCTGCTTCATCAGGGGTATCGAGTTCATCCACATTGATATCAATTTCATCTGGACTGTCCAGGTTATCATCAGAGAGAATAGATCCTTCACTTTGGTCCAGAGAAAGATTGATATTTGGGGCTGTGAGTTTGATTCTCCGAGGATGAGCATCACCAAGATCTAGAGAATTAGGAGGTTCTAAAGAAGAAAAAAATGGGAACATCAAGTACTAGACCATACACATGGCTACAAACAGTGGGTGTGGGCCCCAGGGAAAAACATTTTTAAGACCCTTAAGCAAAGGCATGCCTGCTACACACCCACACATAGAATTTGGATCCCCTTCTTGACCAGCAGGCCTCAGTACTGGCTCATCCCAGACACATGAGCCCTGACCATGTAGAAAAAAAGAAGTGGGAGCTCTTGCTAAAGGAGCAGAAAACCAGTTTCCAGACCTGCCCTGTTCAGGTTTGAGAACGTGACACTGATTTAACAATGAACTGAATCTCTATGATGCATAAGAAAAACAGCTAAGCATACATAGATCTCATAATGGTTCTTGCAGACATCATTTCTATGGAATGAAGGGTAAGAACTTTTTCTATTATGTTCATGGGCACTCCCAAAATACCTCTTTGCAGGTCCTGCAAACTCTATGAATGATCTGTAGTGACCTTTCTTTGACTGGCATTCTATTTCTTTTTTAAAAATAAAACTGAGATATTTGCTCAAGTGGTCACTACCTTTTATGGCAATATTTCTTAACATTAGTTCCTGTATCATAAGTGATAGTCTTCACATGTTAAGGTTCATGGAATTAGCTGCCACCCTCTCAATACAATATGCATCTTGCTTCTCCTGTGATTTTCACTTAACAGAACCACAGCTGCAGAAGTCATTTTAAACCAAGTCAGTCCCAACTCAACAATGGTAGAGAGTTAACCTAAAAATAGAAATTTTCAGGATTCCTATCACAAAATTTTTGAAGGGCCGTCTGGTATACTCCTCAATTCTAGAATTCTAACTCTGGTCTTGTTCTAAGAAAAGTGACTCAGTTTCTTTGTCACTAAAATTTTTTCTACATATAGAACATCACCAAAACTGTGTTCCATGTAATATTTTTATGTATTATACCTGAAAAACTTTCCATTGACCAATAAATTTGAAAAAAATGGATTTCTATGTTACATGAATTCTCAGAGCAGTGCTGTTCAAAAGAGATTTTCATGATGGTAGAAACCTTCTGTGTAGTTGTTGAGCACTTGAAATGAAGCTAGTACAACTGAAGAACTGAGCTTTTCAAGTTTGTTTTAAATTTTAATCAATTTAAATAGCCACATGTAGCAGACTGGTACCATATAGGATAACCATAGCCTTAATACCTGTACATTTACAACTTGTACATTGTGAAACTTTAAGAGTAATGTAGGCATACAGTGGTAAGAATAATTATGAATAATTATGTCACATGACTAGTATCTTGAAAAACGTACTTTACAGAAAAAAGATAGATAGATAGATAGATAGATAGATAGATAGATAGATAATAGATAAATAACCCGCTCTTTTCTGCTCCATTCTAGACTTGGCTGATAACATTAGGGTTCAGGATCGTGTCATGATCCTAAAGCTGTACAGTGCACAGGAGTGATAATTAGCACAAAGTGAGAGTATGATGCAACTGGAAAATTAAAATTCTTTTTGTGTGTGCCTTGAGCTGGAGATCTGTGGCATGTAGGGTTTTTGTTTGTTCGTTTGAATAACCAGGATACTGAGCCTTTTTAATTTTAAATATTCTCACACTGACGTACAAATCTGGGGAACTTAGATGTTAGTTAGAATTGGGTATTCTGACATATGGTAGCCACTTAATACGGGAACTAAACACACTGGCAATTACAGCAGTGGTCCAGGAGGTCAAAGGTGGCCCACACAAGTGAGCATCAGTGTTCATGTCAACTCTGAAATTGTAGGCTACCAAATGTAGCCTAACACCCTCCTCACACATATTTTGTTTTTCCTCTTCATTTTTATCACTGAAATCACGAGTTGGATGCATAGGAAATGGTTCTCTCACTGAATAATGACAAGGTCTGGATACAGACTAGCACTGAAGGAAATGAACACATGCTCCTCTCACCGGGCCTCATGTCTGCAGCACTGGGGCTTGGCATTCCCTCCTCAAAGGAGATGTCCATGCCTACATCCTCTGATGGCAGTCTGAAAAAAAAAGCGAAGCAGACAGTGTAAAAAATTGTGTGGGATTTAATTTTCACTTTCTCTTCTAATTTTCTCTTAAAAGGCAACCCAGAGATTCCAGGATCACATTTTCAACTTGCTTAGAATAGACCAAGTATGTATACTAAATCTATCCTAAGTGGCCCCACTTAGAATAAAGACTTTCTGCAGTTCCTGGGAATAAGAACCATGGGTACCAGTCTTGCTCTGTGTACACAGAAAGCCATTTCTCCTACTAGCTCACATAAGAAAGCACACACCAAGGGGAAAAGCAAATAACTAATAAAATATACTTATGTTGGGTATTTAATAATAATTTTTCAATATGAGAGGCAACATACATGCTTTGGAGTAAAGACAGACCTGACTTCGTATATAATTCTTCCTCTGTGTAAATTTGAGCATATTAAATTGCTGTCAGCAGAGGAAAGCATACTTTGTTGGTCTCTATCAGTGAAATAGAGATACACCATCTACCTCATTGAGTTGCTGAAAAATTAAGCAATAAATGTAAAGTGCCTAACATTCCTGAGAAGGTACCAACTGATGTTATTTCCTATCCTTCTCTGATTTTTTTTAAAGATTTTATTTATTTATTCATGAGACACAGAGAGACAGAGAGGTAGAGACACAGGCAGAGGGAGAAGCAGGCTCCATGCAGGGAGCCTGATATGGGACTCGATCCCAGGTCTTCAGGATCATGCCCTGGGCCGAGGGTGGTGCTAAACCGCTGACCCTCTCAGGCTGCCCTTCTCTGAATATTTAAAGATTCATTATGAATATATGTTGGTGAAGACAGTTTTGGGTCACGAGCTGCCATTTCTTCTCTCTAAACAGTACTGAGTCCAGTACTAGTAAGCCAAATGTAGGGGAATAGAAAATACTGGAGAAAACTGTGACAAATGTATATGCTCTCATAGGAAGCTGACCACTGATCTCGGTAAATTCCCTTTGACCTATTTTTACCTCCTGTCCCTTGTTCAGACATCCTCAATTATCATGAGAACATATTTTTCTTCTTAACAGAAAAACATGACTTCCATATAATTTCATTCATCTAGGGTGAGTCCTTGTGATGTAGGCACTGATCTAAATTTAAGCATGATAAACCTTTGTGTTAGTACTCTAAATTTAATCTTTCCCTCCCTGTTATTGCCATTTTTCTTCACTTGAATCTAAGTCTACCAAATTTGGAATTTGTTTACCTGGATGATTGATCTCCAGGATCCAAGTCAAAGCCCTAACTGTCAGCAAAGCATTACGATTAAAACAAAATTCTTTGTCCCTAGTGAGATGAAGTGTTTCATTTATTTGACAAGTAGGTAGTGAATACCTACTCTGTGCTGAGGATATAGAGGAAAAGAACAGAGGAGCCCCATTCTTGTGGAGATGGGATGATGCTGTTAAAATAGTGACCATCCACTGATAACTTGGTGCTGTTCCCTAAAAGAAGTGAATGACTATGTTGTTACAACCAACCCCAAACAGCCCTTCAAAAATATAACCTCAGGGAGTTTCATTCCCCATACACTTGCTGAGGCATCGATCCTCATTCATTTAGTGTTCTCTAAAATGAATCCTACACCCTGGCAGAAAGACAGTGAGTGAGAGGTTGGTGTGTTAGTCAAAGACAATAAGGTACTGGTAGGAACAACAGAAGTGATGTCAGAGACAGCATACTGGGGGGGGGGGGGCAGCAAATCAAATTATCCAGCAATAGAGGAGGGGTGGTGAACAAAGAGAAAACCTGTGCTAGGCCCCAGGTTTGAAAGTCCTAGGTTCCAGAGGGATGGTTTTCCATGATGCTGCAGCTTTTCAGATTTGCTTATAATGATTCTTTGTCATGTGAAGTATGTATCTGTATGTATTCTGTATGTATGTATTCTCCTTGACACACACCCTACAGTACCTACAAAGTAGCAAATTGCTATTTAAGAGTGGCTGGATTCCAATCTTAGTTCTATCACTCACTGTGTGTCATATGGCAAGTTACCTAATCTTTCTGTGCCTCAGTTTCCACATCAATAAAAGGGAGAATGTGTGATGCCTAAAAATAACAAAGGAAAAGGAAGTTAACCATTATTATCACAGTTCTTTTTGTCATCTATTCTAACTGCCTGCTGTATTAGCCTTGAAGTTTCATGAGGACAGGAAGCATCTCTGTTTCTACTATTATGTCTCCAGCACCTGGTAGAGGTCAATACCCAGTAAAAATGTGTTGAGTTGAATTACCGAGCTTGACATTACTACATGCATATATACATTATTTCCTCCAGTCCTTTATGAATCAACCTTAAAAAAAAAAAAGACATCATAGCTATACCTACTTCACAGAGCACATAAGGGTGCTAGCCTTAGCTCAAAAATAAATATGAGAGCTTTAAAATAGCTATCAGTCTCAAATTTTTGTACATTTTATGAGAGACAACATGGATGGATGGATTATGCTAAGTGAAATCAGCCAGCAAAAAATAAATACCATATGATTTCACTTGTATGTGGAATCTTAGATTTTTTTATTTTTATTTATTTATTTTTATTTATTTATGACAGTCACACAGATAGAGAGAGAGAGAGAGGCAGAGACACAGGCAGAGGGAGAAGCAGGCTCCATGCACCGGGAGCCCGACGTGGGATTCGATCCTGGGTCTCCAGGATCGCGCCCTGGGCCAAAGGCAGGCGCCAAACCGCTGCGCCACCCAGGGATCCCCCTGTATGTGGAATCTTAAAAA